TATTAACGGGGTGGTCGTATTAACGGGGTAGGGTCAAATTATGGTGCAAAATGCTTTTAAACTACATTCTACTACATGTATACCTTTAATCCGTTATAAATCAACCTTTTTGGTAGTTAATTAACAACCTTACAACCGCAATTCAATGCAACTGAACAATCTAACAGTAAACGAAACCGAGTAATGAGAAAAAACACTTGCTTCTTTCAGTTCCTTGTTATGAAAGGAAAGGGCTTGTGATTTGTCTCGAAGAGCCGTTTTCTATATCGTAGCTTACAACGCTTTCACAATTATTACAAAGTTCAAAGTTCTGGGAGAAAAGAAAAGGAAATGGACTTGAAGAGAAAAGCCACAGTGGAAGGCAGCAGAAACAAGAAGGCAAAATAACTTTGAGAGCCTCGAAATGCTGCAAAGTGAAGTCTTTTAGATCTTTCCTCGTATAAATGGCCCTATTGTTTGTCAGATTGTGTCTGTTTTCATTCAGCAGCCCCACCAAGCATTTTGACTGGTCGTATTAAAGGGGTAATTTTATAAAGAAAATAACGACTCAGGACTCCCAAAGGTGGTCGTTGGTCGTAATAACGGGGTGGTCGGATTAACGAGGTTTTCAGATAAGAAAATGAGTGAACTTTTGTTCGGGCCAGGAAAAAGTGGTCCCAATAACGGGGTGGTCGTAAGGCGGGGTTCCACTGTATTGTAGGGCCCAAAAATTGAAAATTTGGCATTTTGGAGCGCTGTAAAATTTTTTATTCGCATTATCTCGAAATAAATTTAACACCTATTTACTGATAAATGTCTTCGTTTTTTCTAGATATTAAGCATTTCTCTGTAAACGTACCCAGAAAGATAAAATCAACCAAAATATGACCCCTATAAAATGCCATCGAACAGACAGCCAAAAATGGCCTTAGTTTAGAAGCATATTTCTACTTTTTGGGACAGAGTTGATTATTCTAGACTATAGAGCCGAAAAGATTGTTCCTTAATTGGCAAGAATTTACAAGAACCCATGTACGATTTCAGTATATCAAAAATTATGACCGTTTGAATTAACGAACATGTCAACATTGAGCGATTTGCCGACCATTAATACTGTGTGAAATAATTAAACAATCTCAAGAAAATTTTGTGAAAGGACGGCTTACCTACAAACTGAGCCATATTCTGATCCGAAGGAATCTTGATTTCATCAGAATCCGGCTAAAACTGCCTTGAAAATAGCTGTCGTTCGCCTGAAGTAGAATTCCTTGCAGATTCCAAAACGGCTCGAATACTGAAACAGGCGCAAATCCGTGGTCACGTCTAACATTTCTCAGTAATTAGCCGGTAAAACGTCCGTTGATAGCTAGTTTGCTTGAGGATCAGAGAAGAAACAAAAAGACGTTCGTTTTTGGAAACGTAAATAAGGATTCGATTGCTTCAAATAGACCTTGTCACGGGTTTCGACGCCATTTTGACGAGTAGGCAAGGAAATTTTGACACGGTTACCAAGCTTCATACGAATCTCTTAAAATTTTTGTCACGCGCCCGACTCACCAGCAATTCTCAGCGTTTTTTTCGTACTTCGTCGCACTAAGAGATTTTTCCTTTTCGGGATATTGAAGGTAAGTAGATTTTCTAGCTCTGTGGTAAAAACTATCCCGATTGTCATCAAATAAGTCCGTTTTGGCACAAATAGCACAGAAGCGCGTGGATCGTACGATGCGTGCAAAACAAAACAAAACAAACATGGCATAATGTTGGCTATTCAGGATTGACTAAAAACACATTTATTTCGTCTATCGATACAAAGGTCCCCTCTAAGCTTTTCTGAAAAGTCACTGAAATCAATTTAGTGCCTTAGAAAATCGCATCTCATTGCGTTTTAAATATATATTTTTTGACTTAAAGTGATTAACTCTGATGTCATAGTCAGGTTGTAGTTCGTGGATCTTTTTTTACTGTGCTGTAAACATTGCCCTAATTGCGTTCAATGTTTCATTCAGATGGAAATGTATGAAGATTTTCTGGATTTGTCCATGGGAAACCTCAAGGACTATCTAAGTTTAAGGGGATTATCGACAACTGGCCAGAGGTAGAACTGGTCGCAAGAGCTTTTTCTGCCTTTGAAATGAAGCTTCCGGTCCAAGTTTCCCAAGAGCAACACTTGGCCAGTTTGCAAAGGGAATTCCAGGACAGACTACGCAAGTACGATCTATCAGATCCTAAATCCAGTGACACTACATGGGTGGATGACATGACAAAATGGCCACCAGTGGACCTTGGCAAGATATTTGCTTATATACTGTCAAACAAAGAGTTTGACTCAGATTACATTGGGAAATACAAGGATGAAAAAGCTTATTCCTACTGGAAAAGTAACTTTGTTGGTACCATCCTCTATGCAGACAACAAGGATGGAAAGTGTGTGTTGTAATGCAAGGTAAATCCATCGCAGCGCATCAGAGAGGACCCAAGAGAAGTCTGGGTAGCCCTCAAGAAAGATGGAACTGTCTTGTGTGGTTGGTGCACATGCATTGCTGGCACGAGTGCAACATGCAACCACATAATTGCATCACTTTACAAGATGGAATATGCATTCACCCACGGTTATACAGATCCATCATGTACATCAGTCCCTTGCGGATGGAATGTATCAACCACGAGAGATGTGCAGCCAGGAAAGATAATGGACATGCGAATCAGAAGAGACAAGAGAACAACTGGAAATGAAGAAAATGAAGGAATTATTATAGATGAATGAGACATTTTGATCCAAGGAAAGAGGGGGAAAGGAATGTGACTGATGAGCAGAAAAAGGGATTCTTGGATGGGNGTCGCAAGAGCTTTTTCTGCCTTTGAAATGAAGCTTCCGGTCCAAGTTTCCCAAGAGCAACACTTGGCCAGTTTGCAAAGGGAATTCCAGGACAGACTACGCAAGTACGATCTATCAGATCCTAAATCCAGTGACACTACATGGGTGGATGACATGACAAAATGGCCACCAGTGGACCTTGGCAAGATATTTGCTTATATACTGTCAAACAAAGAGTTTGACTCAGATTACATTGGGAAATACAAGGATGAAAAAGCTTATTCCTACTGGAAAAGTAACTTTGTTGGTACCATCCTCTATGCAGACAACAAGGATGGAAAGTGTGTGTTGTAATGCAAGGTAAATCCATCGCAGCGCATCAGAGAGGACCCAAGAGAAGTCTGGGTAGCCCTCAAGAAAGATGGAACTGTCTTGTGTGGTTGGTGCACATGCATTGCTGGCACGAGTGCAACATGCAACCACATAATTGCATCACTTTACAAGATGGAATATGCATTCACCCACGGTTATACAGATCCATCATGTACATCAGTCCCTTGCGGATGGAATGTATCAACCACGAGAGATGTGCAGCCAGGAAAGATAATGGACATGCGAATCAGAAGAGACAAGAGAACAACTGGAAATGAAGAAAATGAAGGAATTATTATAGATGAATGAGACATTTTGATCCAAGGAAAGAGGGGGAAAGGAATGTGACTGATGAGCAGAAAAAGGGATTCTTGGATGGGTACAAACAGATCAGGCCCAATGCACAAATTTTCAAAAGTGTAGAGTCAGAAAAGCACAATCAAATGGACAGACCTTTAGAACTGACTAAATTTGCAGAGAATTTTACTGCATCATTAGATGGTAGTGAGAGTGATCAGGACATTGTAAATAAATTTTTGGAAGCTATCCCCTTAAGTGCAATGGAGGTTTCCCAAATTGAGCGAGAAACCAAGGGCCAAAGTGACTCATTTTCTTGGATCAGGCACAGAAAAGGACGGATAACTGCATCGAACTTTAAAGATGTATGCACAAAAGTTGACTCCCTTGCAAAAGCTCGAGGTTCCGTCAAACCACCAACAACTCCTCTTGTTTCAAAACTAGTTCTTGGATCGCAGAACATTGACCACATCCCATCAGTCAGGTGGGGCAAAGAAAAAGAAAACGAGGCATATAATGAATTTTATGCGCGGGCTCTTTCACAGCACCAAAACTGCAAGTTAACAAAGAGTGGACTTTGTGTTCTTAAAGACAAACCCTACATTGGGGCCAGTCCTGATGGGATTATGACATGTTCACGCTGTGGTACAACTGCATTGGAAATTAAGTGCCCATATTCCATTCGGGACTTGTGTGTCAGTGAGGCCTGGGAACAAACAGATTTCCTGGAGCAGAGGGATGGAGTGATTCAGCTGAAAAGAAGTCACAAGGATTTCTTTCAAGTGACTGGTGTTATGGCTGCAAAATCGTTATCAAAGTTGAACTTCGTTGTGTGGACAACAAAGGAACTACATGTAGAACTGATACATTTTGATGATTCATTTTGGGACAATATCATTCCAAAGCTTGATGTATTTTTTAAGTCTTACATGGCCAAGGTCCTATTAGGCTTGAGGAATATATATTTTTGCCCCACATGTGAGAAAGTCATTTTAGAGGGAGAGGAGCTCCCAGAGAATTCCCCTGACAATAGCATATGCTGTGACCATTGTGGAGCATGGTTCCATTTTGGGTGTGCACAGATCACTCACATCGAGGATGATCAAGAGTGGTTTTGCCAACTTGCCTTTTAGATTTTGTGGATAGGGAGCTTGATCTAACCTCTCTTGTGGATCCTTGATGACCTATTAGCATTCATTTTCATGGTTACCAGGGACTTTTAGGCTGATGCTCACCTTAATGTTTCACATTAGATAGTAGACTAGCCTAACAACTCCACACCCTGATTTACCTTTACTTGATCTTTAAGATAAAAGTCATTTAATTCTGTTGAGGGCAGAAAACAGTAGCATCCATATTTGCATTTGGCCTTGAAAAGGGACACTAACCCTAAAATTGATTTTACTGTATCTTAATTCTTGCCATGTTGTTAAAGTTGTATGGCTTTGTCACCGAGTTTTAACTAAAAATACCACAAGGGTATTAAACAAGATGAACTAATTCTCAGTGTCTTTTACAGTACATGTATCACAACCCACTCAAACACACGGTGGGTCTTGTAAGCATGTAAGTGCACAAACAACTTGCACTAAGTCATCACATAATGGGAGACAGTTGATTGGGAGTTCATTCTTGAGGATATTGAACCTTTTCAATCGCCCAATTGCCTGCTCAACATATATCCTAACATTAGCTATCCTAGATGTTTCCTGTACTTCTCTTGGGACCATTTGTGAACCAGCTTTGGTACTGGGTGGAATGCAAAGGTATGCATTGCGCATCAATAGTTCATCTTTTATCTTGAAACCCCTATCAGCCATAATCTGGTCATATGTGTCGTGTCTTAATCGCGTATTGAAACCGATTCACACGGATTATCAAGCTGCACCAGAAACACTCCGAATCTAATCCGCCATGCTTTTAACAATCAATCCCATCAACCTTTGTACGGCTAGATACATCATGTAAGCTATACTGAAAGTACACTACATCCCTCCCTTTTTTTGGAACAACACATGGGAAACATAAACATACTTAACAGCTACAAGAACAAATCAGAGCATGCTTTTCTCTGCTCGCCTCCAAACTTGAAACAGACACCTTTCTTTGTCAGTCTACGCAAAGGTTCAGTTACTGTGGCAAAATCTGGGATGAACCGTGCATTGTAGTTAGCAAGTCCCAGGAAACTCCTAACTTCTGACACATTCTGCGGCTCTCTCGCCTCGACAATAGCTTTCACTTTTTCTTCAGTTGGACCGATGCCCTTGGTTGTTAGCATGAGTCCCATAAACACTAGCTTGGTCATGTGAAACTTGCACTTCTCTGCATTTAAAGTTAAGTTCTTCTCTTTCAGTTTCTCCAAGACTCGCTTTAATCTCTCGTCATGCTCCTTGGTAGTTGTCCCATGTACAATTATGTCATCAGAGATGTTAGCAACTCCCTCACAGTCACTAAGTGCTAGCTGAATAACATGCTGATATACTTCTGGGGCTGAACTTATTCCAAACATTAGGCGCTTATATTGAAACAATCCACAGTGAGTGATAAAAGTAGTAATGCTACGGGAATCTGGATGGAGTTCCAACTGATGATATCCCCACTTCAAATCAAGCTTACTAAACACTGTGCTTTGGTTCAGGCTTTGGAGTACTTCATCGACAGTAGGTATGGGGTAGCGTTCTCTGATTATGGCTTCATTGGCCTTACGCATGTCCACGCATAGCCGAATTTCATCATTCTGTTTCGGTACCACCACTACTGGACTAACCCATGGTGTTGGGCCCTCTACTGGCTCGATAATATCCATATTTACAAGTTCCTCAACCTTCTTCTTCACCTTGTCACGGAGGCTGAATGGAGTACGTCTGACTGGCTGGGCTACTGGGGGTACATCAGGATTAACATGTAACTTGACCTGATAGTCTTTCAACTTGCCTACACCATCAAATACTCCTTTGTAATCAGACATGATCACTTCTTTGGATTGCACTGTATAAACTGGAGCCCCTAATTTCAACACACCTAGTTGCAACGCGGTTTCTCTTCCAAGTAGTGCTTCTCCTTCACCATCGATGACAACAAATTCAGCTTGAACCTCGCTCTCAGCTACTTTCGTCAACGCTGAAAATGTCCCCAAAACTTTCAATGGCTCCTTGCTTCCATACGCGTAAAGCTTCTTGTCACATTTCTTGGATACACAGACAATCTTCTGCTGCTTTAGGTCATTCCATAGACCTTTGTCTACAATGTTAGTGCTCGCCCCTGAATCAATCACCATTTTCACAACACAACCACCCACAATTACCTGAACTTTTTCCGGCTGTGACATTGATTTTACAGTGAACGCATACTCATCTTCCTCGTCGTCATTTTCTCCCTGCATATATCTCACTTTCCTCTTCTCTTTTGGCTTCTTATCGCCTCTACGTTTACTCTCCTTGCTTCTGCATTGCGAAGAAAAATGATCAGCACCACCACATGACCTGCAGGTTTTTCCTTTCGCGGGGCATTCAGGGTCTCGTCCAAAATGTCCTGTGTTGCCGCATCGATAACATGTTTTGTTTCCAGGCTCACCCGATGTCTTCTTCCCATTATGATAATGCTTGTGTTCGCTTGAGTCACAAACTTGATTCACAGTAACGCCTCTACTCTTCATACTCTCCAGCTGAACTTGCACAGCCTCAAAGGACGCAGCAGTTTTAAGTAGAACTTCTAGGGTTAAAGTGTCACCTTTCTCAAGCAATTTCCGCCTTAAATCATGGGACGTACACCGCTGAACAACTTGATCTTGAATTTGATTATCCGCCTGATCACCGTAATCACAATCTTTCACAACTTGTCCTAACCTTGTCATGAACTGAGCCACTGTTTCACCCTCTCGCTGTTCCATACTTCGGAAAAGATGATTTTGGTATGTCGAATTTACCTTTGGAATGAAATATGCGTTTAACGCATTCACAGCTTTCTCATACTCGGCCTCTGGGCCCGTATCAGCCAAAGTTTCGAAGATTTCCTGCACTTGTTCCCCGGCACAATGCAAAAGTAGAGCCCTTCTTTGCACGTTATTGTTGGCTTTGTCTGCTTGGATGATGAGGCCCTTGCTGTCGGCATATAACGAAAAACCTTTAAGCCATGGTTGCCATCGCCTACCAATGCTGGACGGTTCGCCGTTCGGATCCAAGGGTTTTACACTTGTTAGTAGATCATCCACTTTGATAGAGGCCATAATTCAACGTTTTTGACCTAAAAGACTATCCTCGTCGCCAGATGTCGTGTCTTAATCGCGTATTGAAACCGATTCACACGGATTATCAAGCTGCACCAGAAACACTCTGAATCTAATCTGCCATGCTTTTAACAATCAATCCCATCAACCTTTGTACGGCTAGATACATCATGTAAGCTATACTGAAAGTACACTACAATATGGTTCCACAAAATTTAAGAAACCACAGTCTTTAACAATAAATTTATCATTTGCCCTTCCTCCGTAGCATGGTGACACATAGTACAGTGCTCTGTTTGGAGTGACTGCAACCAGAAACTTCATCGTTGAATGATGTTTATAATCATACCATAATCATAATAATAATCATAATCATAACCATCGTCTACATCAGGGTTCTCCTGAAATTTTGAAGTAGAAGGAGAACGAAGGGGAGTAGCCGTCAGAGAAAATTCTTTAAGGCGCGACAGTGCCTTCCACATGCCCTTGGCGCGTGTGGGGGGAGAGTATGGGAGGGAGGACATCCCTCCCATAGGGGGGTCCGGGTGGCCTTCCCCTGGAAAAATTTTGCAATTTGGAGCTCGTAAAGTGCATTTTGGAAGATGACTGCCATGATGATAGAACTTTTATTAATCCACCTTCTCACATATATTACATTTTTGAGAAAAACTTCAGAAATGCGATGCACCCAACATCAAAGTTCAATTTTTTCTGTAATACTTCAAAAATAGTTTAAAGATCTGATAGTGTGTTAAAATGTCTAGAAATCAACGTCAAACTCGAAGTCTGAATCTACATCAGACGACTCATCTAGCATGTCCATCTCAGTAAGTGCCTTGTGAACACTGTTTGCGAAGGCTGATGCCTGAGTTACTAGCTGGGGTTCTTCTT